ATAGAAGTCGCACCCATTCTATTTGAATAATTGAAGAACAAAAATTCATTATTTCTCATATGTTAGATGCTTTAATAAAAAGCCGCATCCTCTGTTGCATTGTACCATTTCAATAGAAGTCGCAGCTTCTAATACAGATTTTACAGTACTTTTTTTTGTTTGACACAAAAAATGGGATTGTGTGCATGATGAAAGTAACCATACAATTATAGAACCTTTTAGAAAGGTCTACTTAGTGCATTCTATTCTATTCTATAACTGTGTTCTCATTGTGCAAAAAATTGGGCGTAATTTTATAGATTTTAACTGCGTAAAAATAACCTCACGTTCATATGTAACAAATACATTGTTTTTGTCAAATAACATATTTGCAGAAAATCCAATTTATCCAGCCCCCTCACCAAAATTTCACAATGGTAACATCCAACATACATCAATAGGTAAGATCAATATCGGTACAGCAAGAGTAAATTTTGTTGTATGTACGGTAATTATTATTTCCAGTATTGCTGATGTAAGTTACAGAGTACAAAAGAATAAAAATCACAGATTTAAAATTGGAGTAACTCTGATGTCTTTTAAAAGTTCTCAATTTTGGTGTGAGTTTTAACTGATTGTACTGATCAGAAAATGTATTTTTTTTATTATTTGAGGACCTGGAGAAAGATAATTTTTTTTTAGTTTATCAGGATATGCTAGTTGAATAAGGTCAAATAAATAAAAAAAATAAAATTTTAATATAAATGATATGCTGCATAGAACATGAATGAAGAGTGATGTTAATGCATGTACCAGCTGTCACCAGTCATTATGTACTCCACAATCATTGCTAAAACCATTGTAATCTGTATCAATACAGAGACACAGTTATATCTCTCAAAACATGTGTTAAGTACCCTACTTCTCAGGATAACGTGCTCACATTGGCGTACATTTCATAGGTAAATGAGGTTGCTATAGTACCAGATATATGAGCAACCGTGATATTTACCATGTCCCATTGTTTTAGCTGTCATAATACATAGTAATATGTAGCACTTCTATTAAAATGGTACAATGCAACAGAGGGGATGCGGCTTTTATTAGAGCACCTAAACATATGAGAAATGGTGAATTTTTGGTTCTTAATTATTCAAAAAGAATGGGTGCGACTTCTATTAAGGATGCGGCTTCTGATACAGATTTTACAGTACATGTATGAGGTATTTGATCCACATCATGTGATATCTTGACTTACATGCACTGTATTTTTTTTGATTCCCATGCTATTTTTTGACCTTTGAGTCAATAATTTAGCAAAGCAAGTAATTTGATGTACAACAGTAAATTCCAAAACAATAAGTATGCATCCGGAAGTATACATGCTATTTTCTCCCTCAGCCCACTACTTTTTATGTTTGCCCTTTTTCTCAAGGTGTTTCACACTGTTTGTGCTGATGCAATTGCACATACATGTATAAGAAGTCATTGAAAATGACACAGTCCCCGTTAAATTTTTGAAAGTTCTTTGTGCTCGTCATATTAAAGCGGAGAGGTTGTCGCGAGAGTGTCCTTGAAACTCGAGTTCCAAGTGGCGTATACAACAGATTGTTTATTTACATCAAAACACGTGTTCCATGTAGTAGTAATATGGCCAAAAAAAAAACAGCCGTTATTCTGCCATCTTTGATCTGATTATGAAACACACTGATATGTATGATGTATGTGCCAAATACGAATGAAAATGGTACATAAATTATGGAAATATAGTAGTAAAGCCAAAAATTCAGATGGCTGTCAATCGGCCATCCTTGACTAGCTTTTGAAACAAATTGTCATGGACATGCATCCTACCATGTATAAAGTAAGCAAATAACACCGAAT